CTTTCCTTCGATTTCCTTTGCTTTCCTTTGCTTTCCTATCCTTTCCTTTCCTTTGCTTTGATTTCCTTTGCTTTTTTCCTTTGCTCTCCCATAGTTTATAAGAAAATATTTTACTTACATGCCTCGCAGTTTCTGCCTCGAGTAGCAGGTTTACAGACGCAATGATAATCATCATTATCGTAGTCAGGRTAACACGTTCCATGATTTTGACATGGTGAGGGGTCCATACACTTGTTCTAGAAGGATAAAATAGCTTGGTAGGTACGTACGAAAGTTATCATTATTATTATTAATATTTATGAATATTGTGAGAAAGCGTTAAAAAGTGCTGTCGTAGGTAGCAAACAAGCTGGCCAAAGTTTTACATGGTGGCGACACCAGGGAAAAACGTTTGCGCATGCGTGCATTTTAGCACGTTTTCTAAGAATTTTGAAGAGTTTGAGTGAGAAAATAAATGTTTGTTTTCTCCAAGTATACAAAAAAGTTCGAGAGTATACTTTTGCCAGACCAAGATACCGTATTAACAAACACAATATGAAAGAATTAGTCTTAGTTTCAAGCATGGACACTAAGTTTTGGCATTTTGTGAAGTCCAATTTATCAGACATGTTTGAAAGTCGAATTTACTTATTTTTGACTAATTTGCATAAGGATTCAGAGCATGCGTTTTTTACTCGTGTCTATGGTGGCTTTTTTATCCTTCTTTTGATGTGATACATTTGTGTCCTTACTGAAGGTAATTGCCTATTATAGAAAAATAAATTCATTGCGAGGCAGATCTCTGGTCTGTCGAGCCACTCGTTTTATTGAACCTCGTCTTAGACATTTATACAAGTTAAGTGTCAGATCTAACTACACAAACTAGAGCAGAGTCAGGTTGACCAAAAGGACTTTCCTTAGTCGGTGTGGCTGTCAGTCGCGATTCCTTACTCGACTACTGTCCTTACTAAGGTGTGCACCTCCCAGTACAAGCCGAACTACAACCTTAGCCTTGTTCACAACTAAATACAAGATTGAATTCACAGAAATTGTTAAATCGCTCGTCCTTATATAACCAGGTAATCTAATCTGAAATATTCTTTTCACATCACGTATCTAGAAAATGAGACCTCGCGTACCTTTTAGGGTCTTCGGCTGACTCCCGGCTGACTCATATTTGTTCGTTTTGAAAAATATCAAACGTCATACAAGAATATAATGGTTGGAAACGTTGTCATTTTAAATGTGGTCGTACCTTTTAGGGTCTGAAATCAGCATCTCAGTTAATTTATGCGTACCTTTTAGGGTCATTTTCAAAACCGTCCGTCGAGCCCCCCTACCCACTTTTCAAAAGAGCCCCCCGGGATGTTTAGGTTAATTTGAAAGAAGTTCATAGAACAGGAAACTACAAGACGTAGATCTCCAAGTCAAAACAGTCTTGGCTACTAATTAAACTAAACATGTTAGGCTTGTGGAATCAAAGATAAAAAGCATTATTCATGTGAACAAATTATTTCTAAAATTCTGTTGAATAACAGTGCGATGCTCGGGAGCACCAAACCCGCTCAAAACAGTTTCAAACTTTTCTTGATGCCTGAACTTGTGACCACGAACGCTTTTAACTTCAAATAGGCAAGACCCCCCATTTTGTGTGGGACAATTTAAAGATTACATCAACAAAGTTTGAAAAAATGACTCAAGCGGAAACGGTAAAAGTACCTTTTTTCTCTCAATTTAGCTTAAAAATGTCAAGTGCTTGCCAGACGAAAAAAACCTTTTTTTGTTAGAAAGTTGGTTATCGCGTTTTCTTAAAAGGAAGTTGTTGATATTAATTCTTATGTATAAGAGCGAATATGTCGAACACGACGGCAAGACACCCCCTTTTTCTTCTATAGTAAGCCTTTTTATTTAAAAACGTCAAACAAAAGGAAGCGGGTTGGCTTTATTGTTTTCTTTGTATTCCTTTCTTAAGCAAGACATTTTGCCAGCAATTCCTTCAATAAGTTTTAGCCTTTTACTATCTATAACTTTTTTTATGCATGCTCCCAGAACTAGTAAAATGAAATATTGCAATATGAATTGAAATTATCGATAAGACCGTGAAACTTTTCAAAGTGTATATGACACGAAAACATTCCATCATTTAAAATGTATAGTTTGTTAGTAATAATAGATATATCGTAATGAAATTTGTTTCAAAAGCTTATTTCTTGAGATATTTGAGAAAGTTAATCCCAATTTGTGACGTCATTTTGTTGACACGTACTCTAGATTC